TCTCAAAGCTGAAACTGTTGGATTCCTCTTAAAACACCTGAGTCCTGAATTCTCAGTACTAATGGCAACAGACCTAAGCTCGGCATTACCGTTTATTCTGTGCGCCTAGTTCATTCATGAACTCCTGGCAGTTCAGTTCCCATCTCAGCCTACAGCTTACCTGTCAACTACACATTCCCTTTTCCTTCCCATGTTCGAGTTCCAGAGCTCCTTGCCTGAAAGCTGCTATCTGCTGACAAATGTCTGTAACACCAAACTGCCTATCTGCATGTATTTCTACAAGTTCCCACATTCCCTACTACCTGGCTATTCCCAGCTTTATCTTTCTTCAACTACTGATTTCAGATCGAGGCATACTGCTAACCTTGCTGACCACCTGCTGCCTGCTAATGCACCCGAGGATAAATGGAGTATTTTGGCTGCTGGAAATTCTTTCTAGTAGCGCATCTGGTTTGGTCCTTAGCATATACCCCACACCAACAGCCTGCATGGTTCTAAGCCTCATTATTCCTGACACTATTTTTATGATCTGACTCCTATAAACCAGACTATCCGTAGCCAGGTCTCAAGACTACCACTGATTCTTTTGCTTAAAGTATTTAACAATGACTCACTCCATGATTCTTTACAATGCATTTGAAAAAGCACAAAAATATTTAAAAAAAAAAATCATATGTACTTGTGAGAGTTGAAAAAAACTTGAGGTGTAAGTAACTTCCTGATTTTTATCCACTAGTGACCTATTATACATAAATCTTTGTCTTGAATGATAGAGAGAAAAATGTTCACAAGAGTTCTATAAAGATTATTCTCAGAACAGTTAGATTAAGCCAAGAGTGAAGTAAGAGTAAATGTACTTCCTAATTTGGAAATTGAAGACAAACTTCTAACATTTTTTAATCTTAGGTATTTAGAAAAACTAAGAAGTCTTTCTCTGATTTAAATAGTCACATGAAAATATATAAATTTTTCATAATAGTTATACATACTAATGTATTAACAGTATTTACTTTCTTGTTTTAACATTATGGCCATGGATTTTATTTCATTTATTTATTTATTCATTTGGGTACTAGGTATCAGAACTCAGGATCTCACATTTGCCAGGCAGGTGCTGTGCCACTGAGCTAAATTCCTGGCTCTTTACTTTCTTTTTAATTCCCTTAGAATTTCATAATTTTCTCCAAGGTTTAGATGGTTACTAGTTTGAAGAGAGCTTCCTATCCATAAACTTTTTTCCTAAATGTATTATTAGACTGAATTCACAAATGAGTTACAAGCAACAAGTGCTCTAACTTAAGCTTCAAAAACACAAGCCACATTTTCCAGTTTCCATATCCACATCTCAGTACTGACATTAATTTTGAGTGTTTTGTTTTGTGAAAACTAGGATAGTCTCGTATCTTAAAAACTATCTGTACTTATTTATCTTATTTATCTAAAGTAAAGAACCCCTTAACAGAAGCCAAAAGTAAAAGTAATTTTCTTAAAAAACAGAGGACTTTTTTTATAGTGAGCAGACTATTTTAAAAATACTTTCACTTTGATAAAAATACAGGTCTTTTGAGTAACCTGTTTTTCATCTGCTATTTGTTTAGGAATTATATGAAAACTAGATTAAATGAAAAAATTATAATTGCCAACTTGTTTTGCCTTTTGTATTCCATTAATGACATTCAGAGTGTTTTAACTAGATACCTCTACTGGTTCATAGGTAATAAAAAGCACCAAAGCATATCTGAATCATAATGCTAAGCATGCTTTCTAGATGTACTCATAAATTCCTGTGGGTCAGTCAGACATTATGTGGCAATAATGATAACTGAACAATTGCAAAAGGGAGACCTCCAAAATCAAGTCTTAGATTTATTGCTATTTAAATCATTCTGCTAACCGATGCTCTGATCTTAAGCTCCAGTATTCATACGTAAACCATTTTTTAAAAAGACAAGATGGTAAAACTGCTGAAAACAAGATTACTATATAAAAATCAGTTAGTGATAGCCATTTAAAAAATCCCGAGGAAAAATATCTTATTTATAATTATGTATAAACCTTTTACATATATTTATAAATTCCATTTAAACCAAAGAAATTTTAAAATAAGTATGAGACATTTAAAATACATAGTATCTGACCTAACAAGAAATATACAAAATATATGTGAATGAAAGAATACTAAAATTACCGCAAAATATAAAGGTCCAAATAAGGAAATATATATATGCAACTGCATTCCTACACAGGTCTCATTGGAAATACGTTAATTTTTACCAAATTAATCTATAATTTTACCAAATTAATCTACCAAATTAATTTTTACCAAATTAATCTATAATTTTTACCAAATTAATCTATACCAAATTAATCTAAAGCATTTCTAATTAAAATAACAAATTTGCGCCTGCCTTGCAAGCGCAAGGTCGTGAGTTCGGTTCCCGGTACCGGAGAAAAACCAAAAAAAAATAAAATAAAATAAAATAACAAATTTGCCGGGCGTGGTGCCACATGCCTGTAATCCCAGCACTCGGGAGGCTGAGGCAGGAGGATCCTTGCGAGTTCAAGACCAGCCTGGTCCTGTCTCAAAAAGACAAAAAAAAAAGGTCAGGTGTGGTGGCACGCACCTGTAATCCCAGCACTTGGGAGGCTGAGGCAGGAGGATCATTGCAAGTTCGAGACAAGCCTGAACTACAAAGTGAGCTCAAGGCCAGCCTGAACTGCATAGCAAGACCCTATCTCCAAAAGATAGATAGGTAGATAGATAGATAGACAGACAGACAGACAGATAGATAGATATATAAAATAACAAATTTTTGACAAAATACACAAATGCAGCCAAAATTTTATTTGAAAGATGATCTTAAAAAAACAAAAACCTAGAAAAGTCCCAAAATGAGAGTAGATGGAGTACTTGCCTTTCCAGATGGCAAACCACATCATAAAGCTACAGTAATTAAAAAAAAAAACTCTAATCTTGTGAAGGAATAAAACAGTAAACTAATGATACTATATAGGATAAGATCAACAGATACTACATAAACTAAAACTTCCACATGACAGGTCAAAGGATATATGTTAATCTATAAAAATGGCACAATGTAACAAAAATAGTTAATACCCTAAAATGTAAAATTTTTCCAATATTTAAAACACAAATCCATCTTCAAAACAAAGGATATGAATAAAAATTTTACTATGTTATACATACGAAAAGATACTCATCTTCAGTAAGGAAAATAAATTTGAGCCATGAGAATTTTTCATTTATTAGACTGGCAAAGATGAAAAAGAATGTGAAATGCATTATATTAGTAAGTCTGTGAAGAGATGGACATTTGCATCATAGTAGTAAAAATACAAATTGTTGGCGTTTTTTTGGAAGGCATTTTAGCAGTAAATTGAAAATTTTTATCTACACATATCCTGACGCCATAACTTTACATGTTGGAATCCATCTATAGAAAGATATGCACAAGTCCGTAAAGGTATATGTATATAATAATGTTCACAAACCTTGCAATATATAATTTTAAAAATGTCAACAGCCTAAACAAAGTAGATCATTAGATAACAGCATACGCACACCCTGGAACACAATGTAACCCTTACATAAATTAGGTAGCTATATATGTACTGACTTGAAAAAGTATCTAATAGTATGTTGTACTGTAAATACACTATTTCATTAAAAAGAAAAGAATTCAGAACAATGTGCTAAACAGGATCCATATTTGTATATGTAAGAAGTACTGGGAAGTTTACTGACTCAATACTTTGTGTCCTTTCAATAAGTATATATTTTTTTCATGTTAAAGTACAAATCTGGCGGGGAAAAGCTGATACTAAATGTGAAATATTATATTCAATCTGAACTTTTTTTGGAGGATTTCTTTCATTTTTCTAAAGTATGAGTGTCCAGCCTTTTGGCTTGTCTGGGCAGCACTGAGTAAAAGGGACTGTTCTCAGTTGCATATAATATATAATATAGTTGATGTATATAATAAAACTTCCTTAATTTTAATATAATTTTTTTTTAGAAAGAAGGCAAGCAGCCCATAAGCTGTGGGTTGGGCACACCTGCCTAAAAGACACATAGAGATGAAAAAGCTATGAAAGTCTCTTGTATTTTTCAAAGTAAACATGTTTTCTAAGAACTTATCAGGTACGTTGGACTCTGATGATGAAAGATGAATAAGGCGTGGCCTCTGCCTTGGAGAAGCTCAAACTATACTGAGAGAGACAAGACGTGGATACAGGTAAGCAATTCCAACAAAGCGTTCTCAAGTAACTGTGACAGAAGTGTGTGCAGGGATAAAAATTTAAAAGGAAGAGAAGAGTCACTCTAGTTGGAGGAAAAGGTAACAGAAAAGACGTAAGTTTAGCTTGAGCTAAGGAGAAAGGAAGTGTAAGCTTACACACACACGTACAGTGTACATGCATTTCACATATACTGTATGCACACATACACGTATTTAAGCTGAATATTTCTCAGTGCTATAAAGATAAAACAATGAGAACTTTTAATGTCAAACATCAAACCAAAACAATGTTAAAAGCTGTAATAATTCTTCTAATATTCATCAACTATAATTTTGTTTTCTATCCTAGTTGGAAACTGTTTTCAGTTTTGGTTATTTTTATTAATTTTTTTGTTTAAAAAAGTCTACAAAAATGTTTTAAAAATAAACATGTCTACATTGAAAAATCTACTTTATGTCTTAAAAATAAACTGCCCTAGAAACACAAAGACTTCATACTTTCACTGCTTAAATTCTGACATTTTTCTAAGTCCCCTCATACTGTAGTTTCAAAGCTCAAACATGTTTAACATAAAATACTCCAACACGATAAATACAGTCTCCTTTCCGAAGAGCTGTGTTTTGCTAATACCTGTGTGGTTTTAACCCTGATCTCGGGAAGTCCATCTCCTTTCTGCAAACTAGTACCACACTCACCTCAAAGGAACAGCATCACACACACACAGCGAAGCATGGGCTTACCTCATGAAGTGTGAGATGTTTTCCATCCTTTCTCTTTGAGTCAAATCTGCCATATATTGCACTGTATTTCCGAATTTCCTCCTCTTTGTGTGGATCATCATCGCTCATCTCAAAGATGTGACCAATCATTTTAGCCAACTTCTTATTGGTTTTTAGCAGCTCTTTCACTTCATTCAAGTCACTTTTTGGCAGGGTGGGGGCCATGCGCTCCACACACTCAGCCACAGAGAGTGCAGCAGCAGCATCCAGGGCCTCGCTGCTCTCCTTCGGGGACGCAGGCGAGCCAAGATCTGCTGGGGAGAGACTGTGCTCGCTCTCCGTAGCGTGGTGACCCTGCCAGAGCCGGGACTCACCAACACTCTGCAGTGCTAAGCTCCCCACCATGTCTGACTTCCCCTGCCCCAAGCTCTGCACACAGGTGGTAGCAGCACATTTGGGGATTTTTAAATGAGGTTCCCGGGCATTGCTATTCCTTTCATAACTGCTGCAGGATATTCCCAGCCACGTAGGTGATCCCTCCGGTAATTTATAGATAGGTATGCTACTGACAGGAAGGGAAGTCAGTGGCTGATTGAAAAGGCCAGGGTTTGTAACCCAGTCTCTCAAAGCCTTCTGTAGCCTTCTAACATGAAGGGGCTTGCTAGCCATGCCCACCAGTGCCATGATTTCCAAAAATTCCTCTTCTCCAGCTTCACAGAGTTGCTGGACGTCATCACCACCTTGTTGGATAAAGGCATCAAAATAAGAAAGCAGATTGGCTTTTTGCAATATTCTATACAACTGCAACTCCCCCAGGGTCCTGGGTAAGGCCGCAGCCATTACTGTGGATACAGTTAACCTACAAAAGAAGAGAAAAAAAAAATCATTACACTTCTTTCAAACTTCTGAAACCAAACAGGTTAGATGCTACAAGATTTAGGAATACAATGCAGGAAGAACAAGGAGCATCTGCCAGCCAGTGACTGTTAAGGAAGCATTCTCTCTCTACACAACCTTTATCTTACTTTATACTTCTAGTAACTGCAAAGGCCAGTAATGAAATTGACCTATTTTCCTTAAGGAGAAGCAAGCAGGAAATGCAGGCTCTCAGGGTTCTATGGCCCATATTTTCAGCTATGCACTTTGCTGCTTCCATACTGTGGACAAAGCAGTGGAGCAAACAATCAAAATTAGGTGGCTATCATTCACTTAAGACTTACTCTGTGTCTAGCAATATGATAAAGACTTTACATTATGTCTAGTCCTCACATCAGCCACTGTGTGATAGGTGTATTTATTCTCATCTTGTAAAGAAAAATTAGCAACATTAGCCTGGCAGGAGAAGGAAGATTAATTTCAGTACAAACTGGAGGTTAAAAAGAAGGTCATATAAAACCAAGAAAAAAGCAGCAAAACTTCAAACAAATAAGTGATAAGACGTGACCACTTTGGTGTAAGTGATAAAGAGGATATAGTTACCATTTATTGATAGTTTGCTTTCAGGAAGAAAAGGGTCTTAAGTGACTATGGAGTTACATATCTGAGAGCCTAGAACTGTATAACAGGCATCAGGGATACAGAAAAATCAGGCTGATAAGATTCCTTTTCAAGTGGGTGCACTCAAACATGGCTCACTGTGGAATGCTTAGGTAGAACGGCCCTGCATGCAAGACAACAGACTGGGGTCTAAATACCCATCAGGGATGGAGATGCAGGATGAAATCAGAGGCCTGTGGGCCCTCCAGAGCAGCAGGGGAGAGCCCAAGGCATAACCAAGAAGGAAGTACTTCTAAAGCCTGCGCAAGACAGACAAGCCTGTTTTTAAGCGAAGGGAACAAGATTCAGCAAAGTACTTTTTGACCTCTTAGCAGCCTTTATAAGCTGTTCACAGTTGCCTGGGGAGACCTCCCACATACAAAGAAGAGTTGGCCAAGTACTTCCATTTAAGAGACCAAATTAACTTGTAATCAATGCCCTCCTAGGATTAGAAAGACCCCGTAACCCTCTATGGAAGAAATTACAGAAGGATAAAAGAATACATACATCACAGAAAAATGGACAACCCGTTCTCAACTTAAATGGCGTGGAATAGTCAGCTTGGAGATAATGTAAGCAGAGGCATATCAGGCACACCCCCGAAAGCCAGAAAGGCACCAAACCTGGGATTTGTTTTCAAATGCCACCAACCATATTCTACAAAATTGCGGTCTCAGACCCCAATTGGAGAATGAATGTTAGGGACTAACTAGGGGGAGGAAGGAGCTTCTTGCAGGAGAGGTTCTTCCCCAAGCTGTTTTCACTTCCTCAAGTGACCCCTTAAACCATATGGCTATCTGCAAGGGCTAATACGGGCACAGCCTGTGCAAGGGCTAATAGCCTGAGGACTTTCCAAGAGACAAAGAGGAAGATGGAACTAGGCTCCACAACCTCGGCCACATTCACCTGCGGCGCTTTTACAAAACTGTTTCCCAGGTGCCTGAGCTTCCGCTCAGGAGACTCAGGATCTGTCAAAGGAGGCACACTGCACAAGAAGATCCCTTGGTGACACGAACTCTACTAGTTCTAGGACCATCTAGGTTCTGCAGGTCCACCTTCAAGCTTAGCCACCTCCTTTCTCTGGATAAAAACATTCTTTATCTTCCACATCACCCAAATAAATGTCTGTTAATTTTCCCAATCGAGGGAGAGTCCATCATCCAGCTGGATAACAGCACACAAAAACAGGGCCCTTGAGAGACTTAAGGGTAAGTCTGTATTAAACTACGCTACATCAAACAGAAGGGCTGAGGTAGAAGGAGGGAAATCTGCTTTCTCATCATACGCCTAGTACACTGCTCCCCGTGCTTTCAAATGGAACACAAGAAAAATACACATGCACACCTAAGTACACACGCATACATGTACTCTTTTCTAAGAGGGCTGTGGCTCTGCAAAGGTTATGGAGTAACCAATTAACTGTCCATATCTGCCCCCCACATTGTTGAACAGAAGAAACACTACACGGCAAAACTGATCAGTTTTTAAATCGTTACATAAACTACAAGAAAAAAATCTACACAGTACATCTATATCTTTACCTATGTTGGAGAAAACTAAAAGAGAAACATAAAGATAACTAAAAGACCCAAATTTATATTTTATTCTGAGATAAGGTAATGATTTTAGAAAAATAGTAAATTTCAAGTTTGGTCTTCTCTCCTCTATCCAGGAAAAAGCAAACTAGCTCCCTAATGCCTAGGAGAAAGCCCTCATGTACTGGTATCATATCACAGCATACCTATGTTTAAAGCAACACAACTCACAATTTTGGAGGTGGCCTACATGTCCAGCAACAGATGAATGGATTAAAATGTGATACTCACACACCTTGGGGCACTACTCTGCCATAAACAAAGATAAACTTGAATCCTTTGTAAAAAAAATGGATGCATCTTGAGACCAGAATGTTAAGTGAAGTAAATCAGATACATAAGCTTACATATCACATGGTTTCTCTTAAATGAGAAATTCAAATCATAAATAAATAGCAAAATAAAAAAGACAGATAATAGGAAATAAGGAGATAGAGCGTTCTTAAATGGAATGGGATCAGGAGATGAAGGGAAGTGGGGACAGGATGAAGAAGGAATGAAGATGTGAAAGTGCACCAACTCCCCAGGAAGAACGCAAACATTGCAAATGTGCTAATAAATAAAATGTAAAAATAAAGTGTCTCCCAAAGGTCTCAAAAATTAAAAAAGTAATTATGAATCTATTTCCATAAGAATGGACAGTACTCAGTGTACATTTCCGCAGTCAAGATACCAGAGAAAAGACAAACACAAGCCAGGCAACTCTTCAGTCCCAGAAGGGTTTCTAAAGGTTCAATGCTGGGAAAGCTTTCTCCCCAAGCTTTTGCATTAGGAGAATGTTTCAGTTTCTTTCCAGAGCCTGCTGTAATAAGTTAAACACCCACCATTTTATGCATTAACTTGATTCTATTTAAAAGAAAACTTTCATATGACAAGATTTCATGTTTTCACAAAATCTGCAACCATTCATGCTCCTATATGAACGTCAACTTACATCTCTCTGATCTGAATTATACAAAAGGTCCTAACACAACACTACCCATAAGCGGCTTACCGTGTAGTAAATCCACTCAGCTGAAACTACCGGTACCTGGCTTCTCCAAGATCCTACAACACCAAGGGGAGTCTGATCTTTTCATGAATTCCACTATTAAGAGAAACCAGTTACTCACTCTTGCTGGCTCAAAAGATAACCTGAGGCCTTACTATCCCTGTACAGCAAACCTCCACTTTACACCACTTTAAATATTCCCCACCCTGGCCAGTCCAATAAAGAGAACCCCAGTATTAAGAAGAGAATTAAGGAACAACAGATCAGTCTGAGACCACTTGTTGTTCTATGATCTATTTCAAAAACCTTGAAAGCTGTATCTCACTTTAGCTCCTTACAGGGTAGCATCAGTCATCTAGCAAAGTCAAACCACGCTAAGTAAAATAAGAAGCTGCCTGATTCAGAAATTTGTACCAGTCAACTCCTGCTCTACTATGGGAAACAAGAACTTCCTGACATTTTCCAAGCTGGGATGTGATGACTGGGCAGGGCAGAGCCCTTTTACGGTCACTAGGGAAAAGAATCATTCCTCCAAATCTGCCTCAACGCCCCCCCCCCGCCCCCCGCATAAAAATCTCAAGGAACTACTGAGTGACCACTAGGCCTTTTGCAGGCACTAAGGAAGGAAAAATTATTTCTTCAAACCTGTTTCCATCCAGCCTCTCTGGGCCCCAACACTTCTCAAAAACCTCAACTATGGAGAGAGACCAAGCTCCTTGAAATAGTCTTCATTTGTGGTAATATATTTTGTTTGCCTACCTTCCCTTACTCTATTCTAAGGGTTAAAATTCCCCCAAGGTTTTCCTGTTTGCTGGTGCTTTTTGAGATGTGGATCTTGTTCTATTGCCCAGGCTGGTCTTCAACTCCCAAGTCCAAGTGATACTCCTGGGTCCAAGTGACCTTCCTGCCTGACGATCTCAAGTACCGAGACTACAGGAATGAACCACTGAACCCAGCTTCCAATGTCTGACACTAGAATACCTTCTACTGTCTGTCCACAGTCTCCCTGGATCCCTTCCCCTCCCAGCATCAGTGACTGTAGGCTGTAACCTCCAAATCTACATCAGCATTCTGAACTGCCGGCACACGGGCTAGGGCTAAGGAGCTCCTGCCGTGGAGTGTCCTCACGGGCCAAAAGGGTGCCTCCACATATGTCCACTTCACAAATGAAGGCAAACAGGCTTCTCTGTAGTTTAATAAAACATGACCCCATTTAAAAGTATAACTGAATTTATTGTTTTGAGAATATGTATACTTAATAAATACTACAAGTATGAGTCTTTATAATTTTTTTAAGTTTAAGATGTGATCCTTATTCCTGAAAAATTTGGGGAACATCAGCCTGACTCACTCTGAACTATAGTCTGGCATTCCCTCTGCGGTCTGTCAAAACCTCAACTTCAGTATGTCCAGAAGTAAGCACAGTATTTCATCTTCTCTTCTAGACTGCCAAATCGACTCAGCATCCTCAGTTCTCTGATTTGCACCACTACTTTTACAGTTCTCCGGTTTAACAAGAGTGGAGTGGATCGCTGCTTCTTCCTCCTTCCTTAAATTTAGATGTCCTTAGGCCCAAATCACCCATTTTCTGTTTCAAAAGCTCCTAATTCTGGTTTTCACTAAACTTTGAAAATAATTTCCCCACCTCAATGCATCCTGGACTGCAATGTTATCTTTATCTTCCTCAGGACAGGTATGACTCTTCCCGCATCTGTGCAAATCTCCCCACTCCTTGGA